GAGCACCTGAGCAGCTGGCATGCTACTCAGGCCAGAGAATAGATAGAAACACCTGCCTCAGTATAAAGGAGGTCACCAGCATTCCAACTTTTAGAGGCAGCAGCAGTAACAAGCTCAGATGATTCCAGATGCTACTAGAGACACTTACCCACCCACATTCGTTAATACTCTAGTCACAAAGGCAGGCAAATGGAATCAGCCTAGACCTCCATCAACTTATAAACAGACGATAAACATGTGGTATGTACAATGGAATATTATTCAGCTGCAAAGAAAAATGAAATCTACAGGAAAATGGATAAAACTGGAAATGGTATAAAGCAAGGTAACCCAGGCTCAGAAAGAAATGCTGTGTTCTCTTGTATACATAGCTCTTAGTTTGTAATTGTTACATCTATGCATCTAGGTAGGAGAACATAGGCTCCAAGATCCTGTCCATGAGACAGGAAAATCGAAGCTTTAAGGGGGAATACAAGATACTAGAACACATGAGATACTGAAGTAAAGAGAAACACTGAGAAAAGCCAGGTGCATGGGCTGGAAATCAAGTAAAAGGGTGTAGGTGTGAAAATGCCAGGAAGGGGCTGGAGATAAGGCTCAGAGTCTGGGAGCACTGGCTGCTCTTCCAGAAGTCCTGAGTCCAGCAACCACAAGGTGGCTCAGTGCCATCTGGTGCCCTCTTCTGGCACGTAAGCAGAACACTGTATAAACAATAAATAAATACATCTTTTTTTTTTTTTAACGCTAGGAACCTGCTTCTTTGAAAAATAATTTTTTAAATAAAAAGAAGAATGTTAAGAATGTTAATAATTCAATACAGGGTGTTAGGACGGAAGACAAGAGGTATGGATGCTGATATAGGACAACTCAGTGAAGAAGCAACTAAGAGGAAAAGAAATTCTCAAGAATTGTATTCACAACCAAACACAAGCCACTTATCAAGACCACTCTTCACAATGACTAAAAAGACAGAACTCCCTTCTTTCACAAAAATGGTTTGTTTTTATTTTATGTGCATTGGTGTTTTTGCCTGCATGTGTGAGGGTGTCAGATCTTGGAGTTACAGTTCTAAGCTGCCACATGCATGCTGGGAATTGAACCTGGGTCCTCTGAAGAGCAGCCAGTGCTCTTAACCACTGAGCCATCTCTCCAGGCCCCCAGAAACCTTTAAAACATAGGATAAAGGATCAAGACTAAAAAACAATGCTTAATGTAGAAAATACAATTTCCCATAGCATATAAACAAGACATCTGCAGAATTTGCTCTATCTATCTCATCAGGAACAGGAGACAGAACATTTTACCTTCAGCCCAACAATTCCAGTTCTAAGATCTCCACAGGAGAAATTATCCACACAGACTCCAGCATGTGAACTGTGAAACTTCAAGTAGGTGACAGAAAGAAGATGCTGAAGAACCCTGTGTGACCCACTGCTATTAATGGTCCAGAAAGACAATTATGTAGGAGCAACTAGCTGCCAGGGCTATCGTGGGAACCAGGAGTGCATATTATTGAATGTAACAGGTTTTTAAAGATTAGATCATGATGAAATTTACACAACTCTACAGCTGTATTAAAAACCCAAGTCAGTGACTTAAAAATGGGTAAAATCGAGGCTGGAGAGACGGCTTGGGTAAGAATACTTGCTGCTCTTTCAATACATTCCCAGCACCCACATGGCAGCCCATAACCTTCTATATAACACCAGTTCCAGGGGACCCAGTGCCCTCTTCTGGGCTTCAAAGGCACCAGGCACATATGCCATGCACAGAAATGCACACAGACAAAACACTCACATGCATAAAATAAAAATAAAGGGGGAAAGTACTAAGCTTTCCAGTACATAAACCACACCTGATTAAAGCAAGAGGAAACAGGAGAGAGCATGCACGTGTATGAATGCGGAGAGAGGGTGTGTGAGCATCTGAGGGCAAAGGCAGTATAAGCACCCTGAAAAAGGCTCATTTAGCATCTGTGATAAGAGACGTGTAGACCAAACAGGATGGCAGCACACACTCCTTAGCTAGCCAGCCCCCTGCTTGTGGCCTGCTCCATCTTTAGACAGGAGTGCACACTGTAGCAAGCACCACAGTGTCAGTACCCACAGCCCTGGAATGATGCTGGAATCTCCTCGGTCAGTCCTGCTTACTAGACAATTAGAAGACTAAGAAAGAAAACTCTAAATTGGATAAATATATGTATACATTACAGGTTCTACTAGGAACAGCAATTTTTACAATACAGGTTCTATCAGGAAGACAAGAATAAATCCCCAAGTAAAGAAGGAACAGCATAGGGAGGAACTACCCCTATCTGAATCAGCAGTTACAAGAATAACAGTAATGATGCTTTGGTATTTAACTCAATTTTAAATGGTAAAAGATTTGGGAGGCTTCTTTTCTCTTCTCTCCATCTTCAACTTAATTATACAGGAACAAAGACAGTGTTGAGATGTCCTTTGTACAAATCCTGAACTCTAGGAAGACAGTTAAGAAGTGAGCAGAACAGAATTTATTTCGAATTCGAATTTGAAATTGAAAATGATGTTATCTACTCTCCAAGTCTGGGGAAAAATTAAATTTACAGATAACTGCGTCAAGTACACTTCAATTGTAAAAAACATTCTGGGGAAAAAAAAAAAAACAGATGAACAACAACAACAAAAAAGCCCTAACTTCCCCTTGCTAAACATGAATGCTCTATACTCCAGTTTCTGAAGTGAGGTAAGAATCTCCCAAAAGGCATCTTTTCCCTTGACTGCACTTTACCAAATCAAAGATGCCTTGCTCCCCCACATCTTCCTGGATCCCTGTAACAGAACTATGGCAAGCACAAGCTGCAGAGAGGGTTTCTGTAAATGTGAGCACTGTGCGCTGTGCAGGGCAAGACCAAACACAACTCGCAGCCCTCAGAATTACACGCTATGTGTAAGCTCCGCTCCAGGTCCAAGCGACTCTTCACTTGCCTCCCTCTGACTTAATACATGGAACACAAATCAAACTATGGGGGTGTGGTGTGGGGATTAGGTTTCCAGAGCAGCTTAATGGATTAACACTTAGCTATAACTACTGCTTCACACATGCTCTTTCTGTCTTCCTTTTAAAGTATTGCCTTTTCCAGCAACTGTGCAGTTCTAAATAAAAGAAACATAATTGTACTTTGGTTTTAATTATGCAGGATGACAGATATGGCCAGTAGCTGTGGCCATGTAGTAAACGATAGGTGCATGGCTTGCTGGACACCAAGAGGAAAATCCCTAATGCATTGTAAGGGTCTCTTTCCTTTACACTGGCTCTGGCCATGAGTTAAAAAACAAGAAAACATAGTTAAAGGTCTGCTTAAAAGTACAAATGGCCATAGAACGCAATTATTGAGGTGGCTGGGGCTAGTCAGCCTGATAATAATGAAACACACCTCACACTGCCTTTGGTTGGACTAATTCCTTTAGCAGGTGTCAGAAAGGCGGAAAAACCAATCAATTGTCTGAAAACCTAAAGATCCTCCGCTCAATGAGCCTCTACAGCGCAGAACAGACACAAACTGTTCCCAACGGAGTACAGATAAGAACATCAAGCCATGACAGGGTCTAAGTTCCTCTTTTGTGGCTAAAGAAAAAGAAAAAAGTGATTTGACACCATTTCCAGCTATAGAAAAGGCCACATGTTTTAATGAAACAGATCACAGGTCCCATGACTAGATCACATGAGTGGGAGAGCGTGTAACAAGCCACTGCCTAGGAAAAGAGACTGCAGGCCTGACAATGCCTGACAGGGACAAACTGTGACTGCATTTACCTGAGCACAGTGGACAGTCACCATGAGATAATGTGTTACTCCCCACTCCTGTAGGATGGCTCTAAAACAAGTCTTAGCCCTCTAACTTTGGCATATACTTCAACTGCTATACCCATCGCAGTAGAAGAGAACTGTGGATTCCTCCTTGTAAACCGGTCCCAGACAGCCTAGTCAGTGTTATGGAATGAATAAATAGGTTAGAGACTTCATGAACACGTCTTGTGCAATCAATGTCCCTTTATCCATAAACGTCTTACTAGTAATCTGAATTCCCAGCCCAGGTTCCTAGCTCGTGATTTCAAATTTAACCTCTCCATACTTCAGTTCACCCACCTACATAGATTAATAATAACATACTTTTCAAATGACTCTTGGGAATACTGACTGAGTTGCAGAGCCTAGTACAATACTAGCACTCAATTCGAGTGCCCATTAAGCTCTTCAAAGGCAAAAATCTTGGTCCCTTTTGATCCCTGCTCTATGCCTACACCAGAATCAATGCCTGGTACAACAGACCCAAAATATGTCTTTTCTGTTATTTTTCCCCAGTCTCTTGCTATTATGACCCACAAGGCCACCTAATCTAAGTCCTACAGCCCTGTCTCCAAGACTGACAACACAATTACCCTTAATTTAAAGTGATACACTTATAAAATGATCAAATATTGTTTATCAGTAGGCAGAATACTTTACATAGTCCTGATACACCCGAGTTTCTTGCCTGCCAGTTGCTTTCTTTGGGTGGAGGTAGGGGTGTGTGTGTGGGGGGGGGGGGGTGTCTCATGTTTCCCAGGCAGGCCTCAGACTCACTATGTAGTATGTTACTAAGGGTAACTGATTTCTGATTCCCTTACCACCGTGCTGATATGTGAAGAACTGCATCAAAAGCAGGGCTTTGTGCATGCTAGGTTAAGTATCCTACCAACTGAGCTACAGACCCCCAGCTCCAGTTGCTTGATTTCAAGTATGGACATACTGCTCTATCTACTATAACTAGACAGAACAATGCAAGAGCTCACCAAGCAGTGGGTTCAGGGCTAGGAAAAGGAAATTACAACTGTGTATTTGTACACCTAAATAAAAACTATACTGCTTTAAACAGACACATTCAGACATACTAGATACAGTTACAAACATTGTAGGTCATGAAAAGCCACACAAACTCAGCTCAGTTTATAAATAGAAATTTACAAAAATAAAATTACCTAAAATTAAGCCCACCATTGTACTTAAATATCCGGTTCCACTTCCCAAGTTAAGAAAAGATAATCCCGGTTGAAGTTTCAAAGCTTCCATAACTTCGGAATAAATGCAAGGTGCTGACAAGTGTATGTTCCCATGCTTCCAGGCTAAGTCTTTGTAAGCATTGTCTCTGTAGCCTTCCAGATAGTAATCCCCGCGGTCAATGGCCCTGAAGGCTTGCTCTACTCGCTCAGTGCGGATGTACTGTGCTTCTTTAAGGTTATCAATCAAGTCATCGTTATCTTCCCCAGCACTCACAGCTCCTCCCATGACAGTATTCAAATCAAATCATAAGTTAAAGTGCATCAGAATTAGTAGAAATGGCTTCCAACAATGTGTGCTGTTTCCATTTAATGTTGAACTTGATTTCCAAAAATAATTAAACCTGGAAAAGAGTAAAAATAAATAAGTTTAAATTAATATGTGTCACAATATTTAACTACCACTTTCCATGAATACATTCTGTTCCAGCCACAGTGTTAAAAGACTTAAATAGACTATTTTAATTAATTCCTTCAATAACCATGGAGGTCAGAAAACTGGGGCTAGGAATTTAAATGAATTAGTACTGGTCTTATAGAGCGACCACGATCATATATCCAGAGATTAGCTGATCATATAATGACATGCAATTTAAAATTCAGTCAGTCACCTTTTGTCAGCCTTCAGGTGCTTACCAGTCACCTGCAGCGGCTGTGCCAGGGACAGCAACATCCAACAGTGCTGACTCAGCATCTTAGCACCAGGCCCTTCCCATTCAAAGCATGCTCTAAGTCACACAGCCACGCTGATAATCACAGTAATTACGGTTTAATGACTCAAAACTCCTAACCTTAGTAGCTAATAATTTCACGATACACATTTTAAATACTTAATGTAATAAAATATTTTCCAATATTATATACATATGTATGTATGTATGTTTATCCTAAACACTAAATAAAAAATGCAAAAAACAAAAAAACAAAAAACAAAAAAAAAGGAGGCAGGCAAGGTGACAAAGCATTTCTATAATTTCTGTAATTATAAACAAAGGCTGGAGGTTCATGAGCTCAAGGCCAGCCTGGCCTCTCAAATTAAACACACGCGCACACACATAACACACACACAAAACAAAAACAGATTCACTATTTTGGCACATGTCAAACACAATCACTGCTTTGATACATTTTATAATAGTGAGTACTGAGACTACAAGCTTTTATTCACAAGTCTAATAGTTTAGCCCTGGAACACCATGCACACATACACACTTAAAAATAAGTATTTAAAAACTCTTGGAATGCTCATTTGCTTATGACATGTCTAGACACTTGAGATATAAAGATTTCCAGAATGAGACATCAGAAGTGTCTTCATCCCAATAGCACACTACAAGGCATAAAACTGCGGGAAAGGACGATGTAAACTCACAGTACTTTGTCTGTCAAGCGGATGGAGGTGGGACCGGGACCATCCACGGCTATGTAAATGTTTGAATAAGTGGCAGCTAAATGACATACTTCAACATCCCACGAGAGAGCAATGGGACACCACCTAAGGTGACCCCGCCCCCTGATACAGAAGCCCGGAAATATCAGCGGTCAGTATTACAGGGGTTGGCTGCCAGTACAGCTCTGGGGACAGGAGTTTTCCATTTTTCACTTTCTTCCTTTGCTGGCACTCACAATTCAGAAACTGACCCACGGGTTTCTCTGAACTGAATACACTCATAGTATACTCACTGTGATTTATTAAAATTCTCTGTCAAGATCCACTCAGATTTCCACTCAAAGACGCTGTGGTGATTGGAAGGAAAATGGCCCCATAGGCTCACAGGGACTGCAACTATGGGGAGTTATGGTCTTGTCTGAGTAGGTGTGGCCTAGTTGGAGGAAGTGTGTCAGTCACTGGGAGTGGGCTCTGAGTTTCAGATGCAGCTGGAGTGACAGGCAGTGTGGAGCCATCTGACATGGATGCTGACAACAAAACTCTTCCTCCGAAGAGTAGAAAGTGCTCTAACCACTGAACCATCTCTCCAGCCCCCCCCCCAGGTGAGAGTAGAAAGTGCTCTAACCACTGAACCATCTCTCCAGCCCCCCCCCCAGGTGAGAGTAGAAAGTGCTCTAACCACTGAACCATCTCTCCAGCCCCCCCCCCAGGTGAGAGTAGAAAGTGCTCTAACCACTGAACCATCTCTCCAGCCCCCCCCCCAGGTGAGAGTAGAAAGTGCTCTAACCACTGAACCATCTCTCCAGCCCCCCCCAGGTGAGAGTAGAAAGTGCTCTAACCACTGAACCATCTCTCCAGCCCCCCCCCCCAGGTGAGAGTAGAAAGTGCTCTAACCACTGAACCATCTCTCCAGCCCCCCCCCAGGTGAGAGTAGAAAGTGCTCTAACCACTGAACCGTCTCTCCAGCTCCCAGGGGACACCATCTCTTAGGACATCTGTTAACTTTTTTATCTTGTACTCAAATGAATCACTTCTCAAAAAAGGAATTTTGAGACAGGGAAGCAGTCTCGACTGGTATCTAATGTGGCACTTGCCAAACAATTTCACAAGAGTAGTTTGGATTACAAATACACATTTAACAAGTGGCTTAACTTAAAGGCCACAATTTACTAGAAGAAAAAAGTATTTCCTAAATATTAGTTCCAAAGTTTAAGAGGAAACTGAATCCTCTTAATTTATCATGAAATCTATCCTGTTCAAAATGATCTTAACCAAACAAAAGCTGTCTTTACCACACAGCTCACCCTTTTCTTTAACAAATAAGATGTGTCTTGTCATGAATCCCATGATGACCACTGCTGCTTGACAAAGTTCCAGCATTTCAACATTGCAGACCACACTTCTCCAGCACCTTTTTACTTTCATTTTTAACAATACTTACTATTAATGCCTTTCCCTTTGGGAAATTTTGTGACAACCATAGCCTCTCTAAACAAAATAATTCTTTGGGGGGAAAAAAACAAAACAAAACAAAGAAAACACCAACACATGGAACCAGGAATTCCACTGCCCCCTAATTACACCAACAACAGGAACGTTAGTGATTTACTAGATACACCTGATGGCAAGGATGAAATGCCCACAATTCAGATCCCAATTCAGATCCAAAGCCGGAGGCCATTAAGGGTAAGTGTTCAGTTAATTGAGAAATCAGAAAGGTAAAGTATAATGGGAAAAGAGAAAGACATCAGGACCTTGCCTTTCGGATGCCTTATGAGGGGAACAGGCCTATAAAGTAAGACTAAGAAACTGTAGTATAGTGTCTGTCCCTAGAAGCCCTTTCCCCAAGGTCAGACATTTAGATAAGGCTCTCCGTTGGAGGGGGCGGTGCTTAAGGAAAGTTCCAGCTCCATAAAGCAGTCCTTACTTCTAGCAAGAGGAACTTGTGGCCCTATTAACATATGACTGGTTGCCATTGTCAAGGTCAATGCTAACTATCTCAACCCCTGATCTAAGTCAGAGACAAACTCTCATGCCCCTTATTTCCCGGTTAATCCTAGGTACAACCATAAAGCATAAAATGTGTGGTCTTTTTCAATTAAATGCTGCTGGCAGCCATTCTGATCACCCGCAAATCGTGTTCAATTCCCCACATTCCACCCTCCACCCCTCCAGCACACACCTCTTTGAGGCCTGAACCCCACCAAAGCAAGTCTCCAGCAGTTTTATTTTTATTTTTTTATTTTATTTATATGGTATGTTGGTGGTGGGCTTTTATTATTGCTGTTATTATTATAGTATTACTATTTTCTCTTTGGGGGCCTACCAGCCACCAAATATGTACAAAGAGACTTAACTCTTATGAATGCTGGCTCATTTCTAGTCAGCTTTAAGTTAAATTACCCCATCTACCTTTTGCCTCTGGATATTTTGACCTTTCTTTTGACTCTGTGGCTGGTTGGCTGGCTGGCCCTTGGTGTATGTCTTTAGAAAACTGTATTGCCATGGCAATTTATAAAATAAAGCATTTAAGGGAGGGTTTATTTAGTTTCAGAAAGTTAGTCCAAGACCAAGGTGTGGAGCAGAGCAGCAGGCAGGCCGGACACTGAAGAGAGAGAGAAACAGAGAGGCAGAGAGAGTGAGGGGAGGGGAGAGGGGAGGGGAGGGGATGGGAAGGGAGGAGGGAGAAGAGAGAGGAGAGGGAAGAGGAGAGAGGGGGAGAGAGGGGGAGAGAGGGAGGGAGGGACAGAGAGACTGGATCTGGTATAGGCTTTTGCAAGCCTACCCCCAGTAAGACACCTCCTCCAACAAGGCCACACCTCCTAACCCTTCCCAAACAGTTCCACTCAGTGAGGACCAGGCATTCTAACCCATGAGCCTACGGGGCCACTCTCAGTCAAGCCACCACACCTCACAGCGTACTATCACAGTTGCTGAATATGCAGCTCAGCCAGCGCTGTTTCAAGCAGCTTACAGCAGCCTTCCACTACCACACGCTTGGCCAAGGAAGAAGGTAATCTACAAATGTGGGATTTTAGAAATCAGTTAAATGATCATTACTAGAAGCTGAGGAGGAAGCCCATGGGAAACAGGAAAATGCTGACCCATTCTGATAGAATGGCGATGCCCCATCACATAAAATGCTGTAATATTAAAAACAATGTGAGCCAGTAAGATGGCAAGGCAGGCGAAAGCCGGCACTGCAAACCTTGTAACTTGAAAAGTCTGGAGTAGTGAGGTGTACCTGTACCCCACCATTTCTACAACATGACAGAAGACAGACACTGGAGAACTGCCCAGAGACTCACTGGCCAGCCAGCCCTCTACACAGCATGTAAAAACAAGACTCCTCCCCAAGACACGGCGGAAGGAAGAGCACTGACTCCTGGAAATTATCCTCTGACCCACGCGCACGCACGCGCGCACACACGTAATATAATGAACATAAAGTCTATACTAAATCTGTCTATGAAATGACAGATTTACTAAATAGCCTGGTTTTACCACCCCGTATTATAAATACCAAAATGACATAGTGTAACTAATAATAATTTCTTTTCCTAGTGCCGTGACCAAATAACTACATGGTTTGAAGTACAGGACCCTGGCCAGGGACATAGCACCTGAGCTGCTGGAGGCCAGGGCTGCAGGGGCATGAGAAGGCTACTGCAGTGCACTGCGAGGAAGTGGGAGCTAGAGAAGACAAGCAGGCCAAGCTAAAATCCCGAAAGTGTACCTCATTCCCAGCAACCCCCTTCCTCCATGTAGGCCCCACCTCCAAAAGCTTCCAAAGCCTCAAAACATTTCCATCTGCAGACCCAATGTCTAACTAAGCACATGGACATTTCACACTCCAAGAACTACCCACAGACATGCATTACTACTGGCCCATTAAAAATAAAAATATTTAATAAAAACCGTTAAGAAAAAAAGAGAACCGTGAAGAGAAGGAAA